TCAAATACAAGAGTTTATTGGAAATTCTAATAGAAAACACGCACGCTGTATTCTAATACAGCCCGTAGGCAGTCTATTGTATTCGAAATCTGCTTCTATGCGAGAAAGTGGGCCCATGTCGTTTCAATTTTAAATGTTCAACTCGAGGATCGCAGGCCAGCGGCCTCCTCGGCCTCCTACGGGTAGGTTTTGCTTGCCGAGGACCGGTAGCTGCCCGTAGGAGGTCGAGGAGACCACAGCCCTCGAGTTGAACTTTTCAAAATCGAAATGGTGTCGGTCCACTTTTCTCAAATAGAAAGGCACTTCGAATAGACCGCGTACACGTTGTATCCGAAAACAATACGTACCCTTTCTATTCGAATACTGAAACGAATACTCTTGTATTCCAGTAGAACATTACCATTTCCCTTTTTTTTAGGTTAGCATCTGCCCTTGTGCTCCCGCCACTGACATGCTGCATGAGCAGGTCTCTCTCTCTCTCTCTCTCTCTCTCTCTCTCTCTCTCTCTCTCTCTCACACACACACACACACACACACACACACACACACTCTTTTTTTTTCAAGTTCCTCTTCAGCCCACTAGAGGAGGTGATATGATCATCCCCCTATAGTTCGCAATCCGTCAAGGTTGCATTTTATAGACTTCGAAGCCTTCGACCTTCATTCAACGTTCAGGGTCATTTTCGGTTTGGAGGGGGGGTGCTGCGCCCTAGAACCAGGTAGAGTGGAAAGGGCAAGTACCCGAGGTGGAGGACGTTTGGCCAGTACCCGCGGTCGGGAAACGCGTTGGGCCCAGGTCGTCAGTCGAAACGGTCTGAGGGATTCAGACGCGAAGAGCAAGCACCCCCGGGGAAAGTTTGAAACGGCGCTCTACGCACACACACAGACACACACATACACATGTGCATGCGCCAACGCGTGCTGCCCTGCTGGCAACTCTCTCTCTCTCTCTCTCTCTCTCTCTCTCTCTCTCTCTCTCTCTCTCTCTCTCTCTCTCTCTCTCTCTCTCTACCTCCCGCTTTCGCACCCGAACTATAACACCCTGTGCATCACTCTCTCTCTCTCAACTTCCGTGCCTATTTCTGTTAACTTAATCATNACACATGTGCATGCGCCAACGCGTGCTGCCCTGCCGGCAACTCTCTCTCTCTCTCTCTCTCTCTCTCTCTCTCTCTCTCTCTCTCTCTCTCTCTCTCTCTCTCTCTCTCTCCCCACATTCTGCTTTTGAACCTGAACGATAAAACCTTGTGCATCACTCACTCACATACAACTTCCGTGCCTATTTCTGTTAACTTAATCATTGAAAAAAAGAAAACACAATTCATAAGGCAATGAATTGATTGCCGATGGGCAATTCGATAACTGCTCTAATAATTCTCATCCGTTTCAGGGAATTTATTTTCAGTGGCATTACAGATGGAATAGCAAGACTTCTTATCCAATTGTGCTTAGCAAACCTTCATACATATTTTGCTCATCATGTTCCTTGGATTGGGAACAATAGTGTAATATTAAACAATAGTGTAATACTAATTTCTACCCCACAAGGACGGACGAGCATAAGAAACAATTGTGTCATCCAAGTATTGTGACATCCATAGATTCATCGTACCTTTTAGCCAAGTACGAACCCCCTTCCTGTCTAAGGATCTCTATAGCTCAAATTGTTCATCTAACCTCTCTGATTTTCTATGTCAAACAAGCAATGCAATTCCAACATTAAGGAATGGGAGGTTATTATGATGCATTCCATTTCATTGTTTGACAACTTGCAACATGCATGCATAAATGCATATGTATAATCCAAAGCATAATGATCACATTGCGACCAAGACAAAAACCACAGGATGAATACGAAGGAGCTAGACACACATAAAAGCAGACAAAATATGTGGCAAACAAATAAAATGAAGAGCAGTAGCATATCAAGTTGGAAATCATGAGCGTAATAGAAAATTTTCAAAATATGAAGGTATTCTATATCCATCTCCTAGTCTTTCGAGTGTAAATTGAAGTGAAGGCGTACCGAAGATGGTGACCCAACGCGTTTCAGTCAGTCGTCCAAGCTCGTTAAAGGTTTTTGACTCGACCAAAGTTACGTGAAAAAAAATACTAAAAACTTAAAAAGAGTAATATTGTAGTTTTACATAAAAACATTTTACAATTCATAATGTTCGATACTTCCATATTAGAAGGATCCAAATCCTGAACCCTCAAATAATTTGAGCCCGGAGATGCTAAACCAGATAAAACTGATTGAAATTTTTGTTTCACTCGAAAAGCCCTCGTGGAGGCAAGGAGGGAAGCTACCAGAACAATCAAACACAATCAAATTGAAATTACCCCATTTCAAAAATTGATCATACAAGTCAAGAGAAAGACTGAGTCCATTAGAGAATCCTCGAGAACGATCTTACTATAATCTCAAAAGATCCTCTCAAGTTGTTTCCAGTTAAACCACCAGTACCTGGCCCAGCTATCGATGCCGCGCCTGAAAACGGCCTGCGTGCCGTTTCGTGCCGACCCACCAGCGCAACCCAAAAAAAACGTTTTGGCTGGCGGCGCCAGCCTTTCAGGTCGGGAACCCCGGGCCTCTGGAAGTTGTGGGGCGTTAAACCACCAGTACTTGGCCCAGCTAGCAGCCGCAGAAAAAGATAAGAGTAGAAATGTTTCTAGTTGGATGAATTTGGGCGCTCCTGTAGTGGCCCGTACGTTTCCTAAAATCGCGTAGCGTTAACAGGCACGACTTTAAGAAGTACTGGTGGTTTAACGACAACGCCCCCCGGCCGATGTATGGGCCAAGTACTGATGGTTTAATGTATCGAAAATTGTTACACCCGGTGAAACATATCACGTAATCATTACTAATCAGTTCATAGGCCACCCATCGTTTTTGAGAAATTGTCCAATCAAATTTGATTTTTAAAGTCAACATAACATAATAATTCCATCGGTACCCAGAAAAAGAATAGTAGCCAAAGGTCCAACTAAAACTATAAATGACTAGATAACCGTGATATTCCGTTCTCAATTAAAAAATGAACAAAGTTCTGGACACTTTGGAACATCCTGTTTTTGCTCCTCAACAAAAATTGACAATCCTTGTGGATTCTGCACAAGTGATGCTCAGTCCATAATCAAATATCCGAAGAACAGAACCTTGTGGATTTTTATATATATACTACTAGTTATTTTTCCCAGTGGCAGATTGGAATCATAACTCGACATTGGAAAAAAAAACAATATATCGTCTTCACTTTTTTAAGTTTTTTTATTTCACGAATAGAGGCACACCATAAATCAACCTTACACCAAAGATTCATAACTGGTCAGAACCCGATAGACACAATGACTACAGTCTTCCCCCGAATACAATGCACAGTCATTATAGCTGAATTTAGACTGAAAGATAGCCCAAATTCAGCTATAATGACCGTGCGTTGTATTCAGGGGAAGACTGTAGTTTCACAAAAGAGTTCAAGAGACACAAAATAAGAATGCAAGCAAGCGTAGGACATGGTGGTTTGCCCATTAGAATCCTTGACCTGTTTTTTTTTTTTTTTTTTTTTTTTTTTATTATATTAACCTGTTATAGCGTTCCACATGCAATAAAGAGAAGGTGTGTGCCAAATCAAATTCCATAATGTCATAATTATTAATTAAGTTAAAACTCAAATATATCATCATCATCATCAGGATCATCATCATCATAGTCACCACATGAGGGACGCTGAGCCTAGTTCTCAGCAAGTTCGGTTCGGTTTCTCCGGGCAGACTGTGAGGACCCCAGCCTCATTCCTCTTATTGGTAATATCAGTCTTGGGCACTGGGCCCTTTAAAAAGAAAAAGAAAAAAAGAAAATCTCGACCGTTACCGAACCTTGATCAACCCCCCTTAAGCCACCAGTTCCCCCGGTGTGAGAAATTCACCTTCCCGCCGTTCCCGGGCCAAACAGGGAGCATTTTTTTAGGATCGATGCCCAAAAGTTTTTTCACTGATTGGCGGGACTCTTTACTCTGGGTGTAGAGTCCCAAATGGATTTTGGAGACAGTTATGGGCGTGGTCGGCCTTTGGTGGCGGTTATCGGTGGCTATATGGAAGTTGTTTTCTCGTTCGCATCCCCTATCATAACCACCACAGACCTGAAACGGAAAGAAGACTGTAGTGCGCTGCGTGGTTTTCATGCGCATGTAAAAGTCGGCGCTTTTCATCGGCATGTACCTGGAAATGTGTAAGGAGGGGGGGGGGAAGTACATGAGAAAAGAAAATGACCCAAAGGATAGCCTATGGCCTCGCTCAGCTACTCTCGACATGCATAAGAAGAGAGAGTGAATCTAACTATAGAACATGGAAAGATACATTGCCATATTTTGTGTCTTTTGTGCATATCGAGAGCAGTGGAGCAAGGACCATATCCAATCTTCCAACGTTGTCCTTCGGGTCGGGTGGTGAAAGCACCTGCGTCTCTGCCACCTACGACGAACGTGTGGTGACTCTCTCTCTCTCTCTCTCTCTCTCTCTCTCTCTCTCTCTCTCTCTCTCTCTC